TACTCTGCTCATTGCAGTGTTTTGGTTTGGAAAAAATAGTTATTTTTTATTGAAATGTTATCTATGTTAACTGAATTTGTTATTGGTAATTCTAAATAAATTAAGAGATTCATATTTTTAAAATTGTTTTTATTTCTAATGTAAATATCAGTAAATATAACCCACATAAACAATAGGTTTTGGCAGTCCCCAATTTTTTACATTGTAAGTGATTCCTGAGACCAAAAAGTTGAAAACTTCTGGTGCATACTTCTTCTGGCCTCAAGGTAACTCCTCTACCCGGGGTGACATCTGTATTCCAGGTGAACGAGGGAAGGAGGAATACTGGAGCAAGGAGCAGTGGCTGTATCAGGAGAGCAAAATTCCCCCCAGAAAACCCCGAGGTTAATCGTTTTACAGAGAACCTTCTTATGCATTTACCCTTAGCTGCAGTAGTGTGAGAAAGTGAAAACTTTGAGTTGGGCCTTTGCTACTCAGAACAAAGTTGGAGTTCTATTGGTGGGACGAATATTGGCTGTTACACATAGGGGCTTTTTGTTTGTTTGTTTTGCTTTGTTTTAATGACTGGTCCTGGTCAGAGTTTCAGGGAAATTCCTACATGAAGTTCTATTGTTTGACTCCTTTATGCAGAATCCCAGAAACTTGCTTAGACATCTCACCTCATTTTCTTCTTGTTAATTCTTGACTTCTAGTTTCCAGGACTTGTTTGTTCTCTGTGGACTCTGTGTCTCAGCTTTGCCCCCAAAGTACATTGTATTGGAGCCACACATGGACTTGCAAAACATTGACAGGACTGGCCAGATTGTGAAATGTCCTTTATTCTTCAACAGAGCTGATTTTTATCTTTGTGATTTTGTAACTTGTTACATTAACAAAACTTTTCTCACACCCTCAGTCTTAGTATTTCCCAATCTATATATCAGTCCGTCTTCTGATTTGTATTGACTCACTGGTGAGTTCACTATCATCTTTTACACAGAAATTTAGTTTTACAGTAGTCATGATTTATGATTTATTTTTTAAAAAAATGAGTCATGATATTCACTTATACCTCAGTTTTTTAAAAATGAGTCATAGCCTTTATGCGTTATTTTGGCCCAGGATTTGGAATGAAACTTGCATGTGAAGTGTGGGCTGGGAACCAGCAGCATGGGAGTCACCTGGGAGTTCCTTAGAAATGAGCAATCTCAGTGCACCTCCGACCTACCAAGTCACAGTCTGCATTTTAGTAACTTCCCTCATTGATTCAAGTTGCAGCGTTTTAGAAGCACCGGTCTAAGGGAGAAAATAAATGAGAAGAGGGCATGGAGCTGTGTTCTAAGGAACATTCATGGTCAGTGTAGAAAAAAGCCCACCAAAAAGACACGGGGATGCGAGCAAGCCAGGGAGGTGTGTGTCTCACAGCATGGGGTTGCCTGGTGCTGTCTCTGAGGAAGGAGGGTAACAGTTTCTGTTTCCAGAAGCAAAACAGAGGCTTTCATCTCTCCCTGAGTTACAAAATGAGGGACCCAGTAAGCAGTTACTGAACGTATTAAAGATTATCCTGTGTAATAAAAGCCTAATATGCAAATCGATGGAATGGCAGAATGACTGGTCGGTGGGGGGTGGGGCTGGTGAGTGGGCAATGCCAGGCCAGCCAAGGTGGGTGCCAGCAGGCAGAGGTGGGGACAGTGATGGGGCGGGCAGTGGCGACCAGTGGCGGTGGAGGGACAATGGGGGGGGGGCAGGGCTGGCCGCTCGCTGGCTGGTGCTGTCCCCTGATCGCCCTGCTGGTCACCTCCCACAGAGGGAGGCCACCAGCAGTGGTGATGGGGGGCTGGGGCCAGCCGCTCACTGGCTGACACCATCCCCCGATCGGCCCGCCTATTGCCTCCTACAGAGGGAGGCCAGACTGTGGGGAGCGGGCCTAAGCCATCAGTCTGATATCCCCCAAGGGCTCCCGGACTGTGAGAGGGCACATGCTGGGCTGAGGGACCCCCCAGAGTGCATGGGCCTCTAGTATGAAAATAATTGGCCAAGGCTTTTTATTACTTGGTTATTGAAGCTTAGTTGCAGCTTGAACTGGAAGGGAGCTCTTGTTCTCCTTGGAATGCCCAATTCCAGTTCTTGACATTGATGTTGGTAAACTTGCCTTCTCATTCAGAAACATGCCTGTGTGACCGTAGGAGAGAATTGTGTTACCCCCTCTACACTGATATGACTCATAGATGTGCTTTTTTATGTCATTCTTCAGCTTTCCCTAGTTGACATTCCTCATCCAAACTCTTTCGAAGTGGTTCTGTGGTAATGTCATCCTTGGAACAGGCCCAGCAGCCACATAGATTTTTGTCCATATTGTCACTGATGCAGCTGTTCGCACTTGGTAGTCACATAGTAAATAGGATGGGATGAATGAGTAACTGAGTTGAATGAATCCTGAGATTTTCTTGCTGAAAAATAGGTCTGTTATGGTCTTGAGCTTGTTAGATTTGTCAATAAGTCCAAACAAATGTCGCAATATTTAAGGGGGGAAAAGCCTGTTGGAAATGAATTGTTAATTTCCTACCAAGCAGTGGAGAAGCAATCCTAAATGTCGATAGGCTTCAGGCTTTAAAACATCTGCATCTATTGGGGCTAGTTATTTGTTTGATTTTACCAGTGCATTTTATTGTTCTAACAAGGGAATCAGAATAAAGGCTTACATCATTAAATTTATGTCCCAAGTTCATAAGGCAAAGAGCAACTTTTAGCTCTCAATCTGGATTTATAATGTTATCTAGCTTAACTGCTAGTCCTCTCCCCACCATAATATTCCTTCTTTATGGAATGATGAGTGTCAGAATGAATTATTGCTTTTCTTCATACCTCAGAACTTCTCTGTAGGTTTCTAGCTGGTTTTAAACTATCCATTTTTTGTAATGGTGATTATAATTGGTTTTGTATACAGATAATCCAAGGTGTATATTATGAAAATTTAATAGTAAATCCCCGGTGGATGAGCTGTTAAGCCTGGATTCACAGCAGTGCCCTGTGTTTGCCTGTAACACATTCTTGACTCAGGAATAAAACTTAAATGGTTATAGATTTACCTGTTCTGTGGGCAGAGGGACTTTCCATTCCCAATGAGTGAATGTGTGAATATGATGATTCTGTCATATTCCTAATTAAGTTTTTTTTTTAAAACAGTCGTCGGAAACATATTGCCAACACTCTGAGTATACTTTGTAATTTTGTTCTTTTCCTTTATAATTGTCTAATTGACTAACTTAAGACCAACAAATATTCCATTGAGACTAAACACTTAATAACATTGTCTGTATTATATTACACTTAAGAGACCTAAGCTTCGGTTTCCACTCAGGTTTATAAAGTAGAGGATATAACAAAAATATTCCAAAAATTGCACAAATGCATCGCTGTAAAGATAAAGAAGACAGCATTGGTAAAGAGAGTGAGTGCCGGCCGGCAGGCCACTTGGGAGATGCTGAAATGCTTCTTCATCAGCATGTTAGGGATAGTGACTGTTCAAAAGCCAAGTGTACCAGAGTCAAGGCAGTCTGTAATTTGTGGGTTGAGGGGGAAGGAGAAAGTTAAAACTTTTATTGATGGCTTGATCTCTTTAAGGAGAGCCATGGGGGAATGGAATCAACTCTTCCTCAAGGACTTTTTAAATGCTCTCCTAGCTCCTTTGTATCTCTGACTGACTAAAGAATTTTATCTGCTAATCACAGCTCAACCTTCTCTGGTCCTCCCCAGGTAATTGCATACCTAAGTAGAGAATTGATGCTCTTAAGAATACAAGAACTATCATATCTCTTCCATTTGCTATAGTCTTTTTCCCTCCTCATTTGGGTTTAGAACAAGGATAAGTGGATTCAGGAAAAGTTACTTTCTTACTTTTAAAAGTCAGATTTACACTTGGAATACTCATTTTTAAAGAAAGTTATAGTGTGGAAGATTGTCGTATTCATTTTTAGGGCTGCCATAGCCAACTAGCACAGATAGGGTGGCTTAAACAATAGGACTTTTGTCACAGTCTGCAGACTAAACGTCTGAGATCAAAGTGTCAGCAGGTTTGCCTCCTTCTGAGGCCTGTCCTTGGCTTGTGCATGGCTGTTTTTTCCCTGTGTCCTCACATGGTATTCCCTCCATGTGTATCTGGCCCTAATTACCTCTTCTTAAAAGGACACCATTCATATTGGATCAGGGTCCACCCTAATAAGCTGACCTCATTTTAATGTAATTACTCCTTTAAAGGCCCCATTTTCAAATATAGTCACATTCTGAGCGCTGGGGGTTAGGACTTCAACATAGGAATGTGGGGAGACGCAATTCCGTCCATAGCAATATGTCTTAAGAAGGTCAACTTAAAAGCAGAAAGGCCAGTTAGGAAGTTCTTCAAGAATTCCAAGTGAGAAATGAAGAGACCTAAACTAAGGTTTTAACAATAGAAATGAAGATGAGATTGAGAGGCATTGAGGAAGAAACTGATGTAAGACTTTGTGACTGAACGTGGAGAGGGGTGAGAGGGAAGAAGCTAGCCTGACTCCGATTTCTCTAATTCAGGAGGAGAAGCAGGCTTGGGGAATAGGTGAGCTGTGCCCTGTCCCTGTTGAATACCGGCACTTTGACAGCCAAATGCACGGGTGGCATCAGCCGTCCTGCTTCCTTCCCCCGTTATTCAGGGTCCTCAGAGAATGGACCACCCCACACACATCTGCGCATGCCATTTCTTGCCTGTGAACCTCCACTTGAATGGCTTGATCTCATTTACTGCCCTCTTATTTTCACAGTTAATTCCAAATTCCTGGTGTTGTTTTTTGGTTTTTCTAAAGTTCCTTTAGGGCAGGGGCTATTGTTTTACTCATCTTTGCCAAATTCTTTATAATATATTAGGTGACCTGGTACATAGTAGTTTGTGTTCAGCAAATTCTAGTTGAGGGAATGATTTGTCAATACCATTGTTGTGATCAATTACTTGTTCCTTGCACATTTTAATCACCTGTTTGGTTTTCTTGCAGAATGAGAAGACTTTGGGACATCCCATGAGTCATTCAAGTAGCATTTCTAAGGTAGAGTACCACTGAAATGTGTTATTTTCATATTTTCTTAACTTGCATGTGTTTATACTCTTCTTTTAAAGACATAAACTTGCTGTAGCTGGTTTGGCTCAGTGGATATAGTGTCGGCCTGCGGACCGAAGGGTACCGGGTGCAATTCCGGTCAAGGACGCATACCTTGGTTGCAGGCTCCTCCCCAGCCTGGGCCCTGGTTGAGGCTTGTGCAGGGGGCAACCAATTGATGTGTTTCTCTCACATCGATATTTCTTTCTGTCTTTCCCTCTGTCTTCCACACACTCTAAAAATCAATGGGAAAATATCCTTGGGTGAGGAGAGGAAGGAAGGAGGGGGAGGGGGGAGGGAAGGGGGAAGGGAAGAAAAGGGGGAAGGGAAGGAGGGAGGGAGGAAAGGAATGAATGAAAGACATAAACTTGCTGATACAGTTCTTTCATCTGCCCTGGGATCACACAAGGAGGTGTGTGGCAGTTATGTTTTTCTAGTGAGGCAAATTCTGAGCGTGTGGTAGGGGCAGTGACTAATTGGAGAAAACCCTGTTTCTTCTAGTAGAAATTATTTACTTTCAGGTGAAAGAAATCTCAGGGAGTCACCAGAGAATCTGTCTCCTCAATTAGGAGTGCATTTGACTGATAGTCACAAAAAGCCAACTCTGGTGACTTAAATAATTATAGATTTATGTGGTTCCATGACAAGATGTCTGGGTAGATGTTGCTAACAGAGGTGCTGGGACCCAGACACTCTCTGTTCTCTCTGTGCCACCTTCCTTAGCGCATTAGCACCTCAGGCTAGCGCCTCATGGTCTCAAGTGGGAGCTGGGCCTCCAGGCACCATGGCTGTGGCCCTGGCAGGAATGCTTCATGAAGGATGGAGGGTGTAGCAGCTGAGAGTGACCCTTTTCAGGAGGAAGGCAAAGCTTTCTCAGAAGCCCCACCCGGCTGCCTGGCTGCTCACTTCTCACTGGCCAGAAGAAAAGTTTGTGAGCCACTGGCTTACAGTTTCTTAGGGACATTTTATGGGCTTGCACAGGCCTGGGGTAGAGGGATTCTGTGTTGCACTGTGAGGGCTTGGGGATTAGATGGACAGGGATTTACTAGCCATGAGACTTTGAGGAAGAACCCTTCTTGGAGCTTTAGTTTCCCAATGAGTAAAATTAGGGCAGTAATACAACCTTCAGGGTTGCTGTGAGTCTTGGGGATAATGTTTGCAAGGAGCCATGGGGCAGCTTTCTCCTTGCACTGAGTCAGTAAACTGACTCTTGTTAAACGTTGTTGACCCCTGGTGATCTTAGGTTGATTGAGTAAGGATAGTTCTTAATGGTAGCTATTACTTTATTACTGATGATTATTTTATCCTTCACAGTTCTGTGAAATGTGCCATTGGTATCTTGGTAGGGAGGGCTTGTGTTGAATCTATAGACTTCTTTGGGCAGTATGGACATTTTAATGTTAGTTCTTCCTATCCATGAATACAGTGTGTGCTTCCACTTATTGGTATCTTCTTCAATTTCTTTCTTCAGTGTCTTACAATTTTCTGAGTACAGAACTTTTACATTCTTGGTTAAATTTATTCCTATTTTCTGATGCAGTAGTAAATGGGATTTTTTTTTAGTTTTCCTTTCTGTTTGTTCACTATTGATTTATAAACATATCTGTTTGTTGGCATTACTAGATATTTATTTTGTATCTGCTATTTTAGTGAATTCATTTATCGGTTCTAGTATTTTTGTGCATAACCTTTAGGGTTCTCTATATACAGTATCATGTCATCTGCAAATAATTACATTTTACTTCTTACTTTGAATTTGGATGCCTTTTCGTTCTTCTTTTCTGATTGCTGTGGCTGGGACTTCTAGTAGACTTCTGAACTGTGTTGAATAACAGTGGTGAAAGAGGGCATCTCTGTCTTGTTCCAGATCGTAAGGGAAATGCTTTTAGTTTTTGCTCATTGAATATGATGTTGCCTGTGGGTTTGCCATATCTGTGCGGTATATTCCCTCTATCCCCACTTTACTGAGAGTTTCTATTGTAAATGGGTGCTGGGTTTTATCTGATGCTTTTTCTGCCTCTATTGATATGATCATGTGATTTTTATCATTCATTTTGTTTGTGATGTATCACATTTATTGATTTGCGGATATTGTACCAATCTTGCATCCTTGATCATGGTGTATGATCTTTTCAGTATGTTGCTGGATTCGGTTTGCTAATATTTTGTTGAGGATTTTAGCATCTATATTTATCAGGGATATTGGCCTCTAATGTTCTTTCTTTATAGTGTCTTTATCTAGTTTTAGAATTAGGATAATGTTGGCCTTGTAAAATGAACTTGGGAGTCTTTCCTCCTCTTGAATTTTTTGGACTAGTTTGAGGGTGATAAATGTTAGTTCTTCTTTGAATGTTTGGTAAAATTGACTTGGAAAGCTATCCAATTGAGGACTTTTGTTTGTTGGGAGTTTTGTGATTATTACTTCAATTTCATTAGTTGTAATTGGTTTATTCAGATTGTCTGACATCAGAGAAATGTAAATTATAACTACAATAGATATCACCTTGTCAGAAAGCTGTCATCAAGAAATCAACAAACAGTGTTGGCAAAGATGTGGAGAAAAGTGAACTTTCGTTCACTGATAATGGAAATGCAGATTGATGCAGACACTGTGGGAAATCTTATGGAATTTCCTAAAAAAATTAAAAATGTAACTGCCTTGCCCTGGCTGTGTAGCTCAGTGTTTGAGTGTTGACCTATGAACCAGGAGGTCATGGTTCGATTCTCTATTGGGGCACATGCCTGGGTTTTCAGCTCAATCAATGATTCTCTGTTATCATTGATGTTTCTGTCTCTCTCTCCCTTTCCCTTCCTCTCTGAAATCAATAAAAATATATTTTTAAAAAGTGGAACTGCCTTATGACCCAGTGATTCCACTTCTAGAAATCTATCTAAAGAGACCCAGAACACTAATTTGAAAGAATACATGCACCCCTATATTCATTGCAGCATTATTTAAAATAGCCAAGATTTGGAAGCAGCCCAAGTGTCCAACAGTAGAGGAGTGAATAAAAAAGCTGTAGTGCGGGAGTCGGAGGGAGACCGCGTGGCAGACAGCCTCGTCCCTTGGGACAGGCACAGCCCCTGACGGGGGAAAGGAGAACCGCGGGATTCCTGGCGCCGCCGGGGGAATTGAGAGCTCGGTCTGTGATCACAGAGGACTGAGCCTAAAGGGGGCAGCCTGAAGAGCTGACCAGACCATGCAGTCCCGGTAAGAGAAGAAGCTTACAGAAACCAAGCCTTCCCCGTTTCCGCGGCCGGCGTTTGTTTGTTTGTTTTCACTGAACCCTGTTCATGGGACATTTCGGATACAGACACTCACCTGTGCTGAAGAGAGGGAGAGTGTGCGGAGGAGTGGAATCTGGGGAGAGACTGAGGAGAGAAGGGGGGCAGGGAGAGGTGGCAGCGAATTGAGTGCTGAGACACCCCTGAGCCCAGGGCTGAGGCAGCCATTCTCTCCGGAGAGTGAGACTCCTCCCCCCAGCCCCCAGGCAAGGAGCACAGCCACACCCAGATTCCACCCTGTAGGAGATCAAGGATTAAAATAACCTGATCAGTCCCTGGGAGTTAACAGGGTCTGGCCTATAGAGGGATTTTCAATCCCAGCAACAACACAGCACTGGTAACTCTTACGCAGCCAGCTCTGGGCAGTGAACTTCCACTGGACAGAGAGGCCCTATAGCCTCAGAGGCCAACCCCAGAACACTGCCACCCAGAGGCTGACCCACAAACTGACTCTTTGCTAAACACAAAATAAGGCAGTCTGGGAAACAAATGCGGCTTGCTTTAAAATAAGGACTGTGGTTTACAACACAGAGGAACAGTGTATCGCAGGGAAACTCAACACTCTCCTGAATACCTGGCAGGTCTAAAGCGAGCCACACTGAAGAATAGAAGAACCGAAGGACCTTCACTACTGCAATATTTTTTTTTCTTTTTTCACCTTTTAACTAAGAAACCAATTTTTTTTTCTTTTTTTTTCTTTTCTTCTGCTTTTTTTTTTCTTTTTTTTTCTTCTTTTTTCCATCACCTGATTTTACCCTTTTAATTACTACCTTCTTATTTTTAACCAGTATTATTACTGCTACCATTTTACCATTTTTTTTTAAAGTGCCATTTTATTTTCTCTTTATTTTATTTTGGGATTAGTGTTCTCCATTCTATTTTCATCGTTATATTATTGGTTGTTTCTAGTTTGCATTCATCTCCAGGGAGCTGTTGCTGGAATTTGTTGGGATTAATGGCTGTTCTATAGGAGTATTCTCCTCATATAAAAAAGTCTCTTCCCCTCTTCCACTTCATTCTCTCTTTTCACTCTTTTTTTTTTCTTTTCTTTTCTTTTCTCGCTTTTATTTTCCCCCCTCCTTTTTCCCAATTTCATTTTTGCACTCCTTTTTTTGGTCCCTAATTTTCTTTTCTTTTTTCTCTTTTCTCTTTTTCTCTTCCTTCTTCCTTATCCCCTAATTCTCTTAATTCAGGTGGTCACCTTTATTTGGGGTTATTCATATCGTGAATATATTTGTGTATAGTGCCTGGTACGTGGTGCCTTGTTGTGTTGTATTTTGTGCCTTTAAATCAACGCAGCAGATCCAAGCAACAGCAACCTCCTGAGCACCACACCCTCTGCTGAGGAACAGCAGCTGTACGTGAAACCTTGCCCCACCAGCCAGAAGAGCCACCACAGCTGTGAACAGCACCCACCAGAGGAGCTGCTGCCAACTGAAGAGCAGCTGCTACTGCAACCACCCGAAGAGCAACCACAGACCAAGGAGTCACTGCCACCAAGGGAGCAGCCACTGAACGACTCAACGTCTAGATATGTCAGCGAGATCAAACATGGGTAGACAAAGAAACCCCCAAAGAAAAGAGAAGGAGGACTCTCCAGAAAAGCAGCTAAGTAATACAGAGGCATGCAACATGACAGAAAAAGAATTCAGAATAAGGGTCCT